CATGGGCCACCACACCTGGCTGGATTTTAACATTTTTTAGTGGTGCTAAAAGCTTATTCTAGATGAAATTAATCTGTGAACATTATTTCTCTTCACACATAATAGATTTTTAAATAGGGGCTTTTATTACACATGGAAACAATAGAGCAGCTTGAGCTCTACTGGATCAAGTTTGTGAAAAAATAAACAACAAATGCCCAGCACTCCCACAGAGTGGCCTGAGGCCTAATAAGAAAGATTTCCTGGGCTGGGGATGTAGCTCAGTTGGTAGAGTGGTGGCCTAGCATGCATGAGGCCCTGGGTTTGATCCCGAGAACCACATAGAACTGGCATGATGGCAGTTCATGCCTGTAGTCTATCTTTCAGAGGTTGAGGCAGAGGTTCAAGGTCATCCCTGACTATACAGAAAGTTTGAGACTAGCTTGAGCTTCATGAGATTCTGAAAAATGACAATAATGATAGTAATAATAAGAGGATGAAGAGGAGGACAAGAAGGAAGAGAAGGAGGACTATGATGAGGAGGATGAGAAGGAGGAAGAAGAAAGACTTCTTTTATGTTTAATTAAATATTTTAAAAATCCAGCAAGAAGGTATGGTAAAGGAAACAACATCCCAAGACCATACCCAACAGCCAAAAAACAAAAAAACCCAACTATGCCAGAAATTCCACAGGACACATGTGCTCCCGAAGTATTTTCTGAAAAATAAATTTGGGTATAAATTGCTCCTCTCTCCAAGCTACAGTTTCCCAAAGGAAGACAGGAAAGCAGGATGTATGGGGTTGGGGGGTAGGTGCTTGCTGCAAAGATGATGCAACACCCAAGGAGATGAGGGTAGGGGAAAGTGTGCAATCAAAACTAATGATAAATGAAAAATCCATAAGGAAATCTGATACTGGATAAGCTAACCAAAAAACAGAATAAAACAAAATTACTTGAATGGAGGTACCTTGTGAGTGGAATAAAGCGGCTCCCATAGGAGCCATAGATTATTATTGAAAATCCCAGTGCCACGGGTAAGCTATCTCCCTGTAAGCTGTTAGTCAAGGAGGCCCCGGAGGCCAACAGAACAATACAGGCAATTGTCACTGCTCTTGGTTGCCCACCAGTACTAGATGGTAAGACTTTATTGGCTGAGGACGTCACACATCTTGGTTGCAGGACATGGAGAAGTCAAGCTGCACTGTACTGGAAGCTTCCTCCATGTTGGCTAGTCCTTATAGTTCAGTCAGTGCTACGCAGGCTGCTGGGGGAGAATTGTCATCAACAGTCTTATTTGGCTGTGTTCCCTTTGTGTAATAACAATGGTCCAGGCAAGCTGAGTCCAGTGATGTAAAGGAAAGTCTGCCATGGGGATAACCAGCTGCATTCTGGTTGGATTTTAGGCAGGCTCCACAGGAGAGAATTCTGGTACCATAAACCCAGTCAAAAGTCAGTAGATAGGAAGGTCATAGGCCCTAGTTGGAAAGCTAATGCTGTTGTTCATTTTGCTAATTGGATTTGATGTGCCTGTCAAATAGCCTTTTTAAACAGCTATGTTTATGCCCACAGAATAGTGCTGCTGTCAGCTTTGGTCAGAGAAGTTTCTTTTGTAGCGGTCAGTGCAGAAGCCCACAATTCATTAAAGTAATGAGAATACATGACTTATGAATGCTCAGTCATAAATAAGGCACCCTCTCCAAGGCTTAGGAAACACTGAAGGTCAGAGTGGGGGGATGGTGTGGAACACTGCCAAGCATCACATGGCTCTTGCACTCACAGCAGCTGCAATTACCTGCACAAGATCTGAACAAGACTGGGCCAGTCAACACCCTGTCACAGAAGGGGGAGGAGCTCAATGGGTCCCAGCCCTCTCTAAGGATTTACATGCAATTAATAGTTGATGGGGAAGGGAGAGATATTTTTTTCAATGCCCATGGTCCTATGAACAACCCTAATGAAAACTCATTGAGGGAAATAGAGAGAGAGAGAGAGAGAGAGAGAGAGAGAGAGAGAGAGAGAGAAAGGGGAAGAGGGAGGGAAGTAGGAAGGGAGGGAGGGACAGTGGGACAGAGGGAGGGAGAGATGAAGGCTTCAAGGGGCAGGTTGAGAAGTAAATTAGTGGGACTAGGAAGGGGACGAGAGAGAGTAACAGAAGTGAACATGACTGAAATACCATCCTAGTTTGCTTTCTGTTGCTATGATAAACACCATGACCCAAAGCAACTTGGAGAGGAAAGGGTTTTTCATTTTATACTTCCAGGTACCAGTCCATCACTGAAGGAAGTCAGGGGAGGTGATCAAGGCAAGAACTTGGAGACAGGACGCACCAGTCAGATCACCTGCCCAAGAGTAGTACCACCCACAGTTGGCTAGATGCCCTCACATCAATCAACAGTCAAGACAACTCCCCACAGACATAGCTACAGGCCAATATGATCTGGGAAATCCCTCAACTGAGACTCCCTCTTCCCAGACAACTCTTGGTTGTGTCAATAAAAAATAACCAGAACAAATACATTATGTACTTTATGAAAATGGCATAATGAAACCAATGATTCTGTATTATTAATATATGCTAATAAAAATTTTAAAAGAAGATAGAATTTCCCAGAAGTTGCCTTTCTCCCCAAAGTTATAATTTCCCAAAGCCAGATAAACAAGTGGGGTGGGTCAGGGTACAGGCCCTTGCTGCAAAGATAAAGAATTACCCAGGGCTGAATCTAGAGACCTTGCTAGTGAGAAATCAAATATCAACATGTACCAGATTCTATTTGACCAATGCTATGGTCACTAAAAACCTTTCATAGAAGCACAAAGATGGTGCCAAAAGCTTGCCGAGTCCCACTGGCAGCCAAGAACAGGGAAGGTGCATGGGACTGACGACTCATCACCTTTCCAAGAGAAGTCTCCTGAACAAGTGCAAAGTCAGATATCAGGACCTATCCTTTGCCACAGACCCAAGAGTTCTTGTACAATAGCAGGACTACAGATTAAATATTCAGACCCAGGCAGCCTCATACAGGATGCAGGCATCCTGGCAAAAGCCAGATTACCGGATGGAGGGGCTGACGTTACCACAGCATAGTGAGTAAGTGGCACCAGAGGGAGTGTACAGACTTTGAGCCCTCCTTCCTTGCACACCGTTGCCTGCTACAGCAGAATCTGCATGGGTGGAGGTCAGAACTGAAAATACTTCTTCCTCTGTCCATTTTTTTTTTTTTTTTTTTTTTTTTTTTTTTTTTTTTTTTAATATATGTCAGTCTTCCAGAGACAGAGGAACCTATCTAACCCTAGGGCAGTATCACTTCAGGTAAAATAAACTGTGAAAGCCTTTGGCTCCTTTACATGAACAGGGATCATCGTGTGCTTTGAAAGCTACGTCTCTTCACTGGCCTTACAAAGTACATTAGCATTTGAACATTCAGAACCCTGCTATTCTAACGCTGAGAAAGCCATTTAAAAAACTGTCCATGGGGGAGAGAGGTAAAACTTCTCAGGGAAGAAACACCTGGCAGGATCACTGATGCCAGTGCATCTGGATCAGTCGTGGGCGATTTAAGGGTTTTGTGGCAACTTATCAATTGTTTCATTTTGAACAGCACATCTGGCCCCAAATGACACTGTTTTTAAACAGGTTATATTCTGAGCAGTTGAGAAGGGCATTTAGGAGCACAGCTTGGAATATAGAAAACAAAACAAATAGCTTCTGGTTTGGTCAATAAGTCCAAACTTTAAGCAGAGAAACCAGGTAAATTTTTTTTTTTTTTGTCTTGTTTTCTGGTATTTGTGCAAAAATGCTTGCTTTTACAGTAGGAAGAAGATAGCCAAGGGACAGCTGCCTCTTGCTGTTGTATTTTCACAGGGAAACTCAAATTGTTTCCTTGAGAAAAGTGTCATAACACACTGATTTTGCAACTATCTGGTGTAATTCTGGCCCCTGAAAAGCGGCACATAGAAACTTTTCCTAAGCAAGTAGTCCACTCTTCCAAAGCTGTCTAGGCTATTGAGATACGGGCTTTGTAGCTAGAGGAAAGACCATTCAGTTTGCGCCAAGCACAAGGGTTTCCAAAGAAGGACCTTGGAAATTAGTCCAACTTCCTCATTTTACAGAAGAAGATGGCCTAGAAAAGCAAAGCAAGCAGGCCTGAATTCCACATTAGGTAAAAACAGGTTTCTCAACAGCAGTTTTAGTACTGGATGCATCCTTGTTGGGGGGTATGTCTTCTACACTGGAGAATGTTTAGCAGCATCTCTGTCCAGTAGCAATCTTTCACCCAGTTGCAACAAAGATAAATGTCTCTAAACACTACCAAATGTCCCCTGTGAGTGGGACAAGAAGGGCAACTCTCCCAGTTGAAAACTTTAAAATCAGTATGACCGGCAATCAAATCCGGCCCTGTGGTGTTTCCATTAGTCACATGAATACTTGTTTTCAAGTAAATATTTTGTATCTAGGAAGAAGGAATTCATGCATTAGGTCAACAGTACTAATCCTGATTACATGTTATATGATCTTACTAACAAGCCCTTAAAAACTGAGTGCTACAAATATTAACTAACTACTCATCTGTTTACTTGATATGACTATAAACAGGTATGTAGATATATATGTGTGTGTGTGTGTGTGTGTGTGTGTGTGTATATACAGAGAGATATGAAGTTAAAATTAATACAGTCTCTAAGACAATGAGTCTCATTTGGGGGCCAGGTAAAGTAATAGCATATTTAAAGATATTTCGAGGAAAAATCTCTTCACCAATAGCAAACTCTCCTCCTCGCCTTAGACAAAGTCAACATACATTGTACCTGAAATACAGAATTACCTTTTAAAAAGATAATTCACTGTCAAGTTATTTAATCATCTTATTGTAGAAATTAGAAACTCAAAGAGCATCAGAACAGCGCCAGATCCCTTTGTACCACCCCCGAATGAAGCTCACAAGCACACAGACATCAGCTTCTACCCAACAACAGCCTTTGATTTCAGAGTTCTAGTTACTTGCACTATTTAGATATTACCTGTTTCGCTTTTTCCGATGCTCTCTGTTAGAATTCTCTGATTCGCTACCACTACTTGTGTTACAGCGTGAGCGTGACCTGAAGGCAACAGAGAAAGGAAAGGGGAAAAGAGACCCATGTTTATGACAAGCTTTAGAAAGATTCATTAGGTTCTTTGGAAGTAATTTTACAGAAAAATTACTAATCCAAACATACAGAGCTGTATTATTCATCTCCCAGTAAGTGTTTCTGAACTCAGTCAGACATCTGAGTAAGTCTACAGCTCAGGGAAAAGCAGGGCGGAGAAAAGACAAAGCCGATTAAGGCTAATGACACGTTCCCAGAAAAGGACCACAAAAACTGATCACTCCCAACAAAACTCTGACACAGCAAAGCTAAAACCCCTGCTATAAAATCTCATCCCCATTTAGAGGGGGAAAAAGTTCAGTTCTAGCGCTTTGAATTTGTACTGCTCTAGTGACAGATTTTACTAATAGAATGTGTGAGAAATACAAGGCCACTGGATTTTACTTCCTCCTAACTACCTCTACAAAAGGACAGGCCTCCAGCCATCCTGCCAAGATAAGAAAGGCCTCTGGGACAACACAGCCTCAGCTACCACCTGCCTGTTCAATACATTTGGGGATAACACATACAGAGAGAGAAAGAGAGAGAGACAGAGACAGAGAGACAGAGAGAGATTTTGTTGTGGCATGGTGGTTTACAGTAGAGCAGGACTTAGCTGACAGCTCCCCTGAGACATAAAAGGAACAGGAAATAGAAAAGAAATGTCAAGGGACAGAACAGAGTGGAAGACTAAGAGTCAATTGAAACTGGAGTCAACACCAAAAGACTGACAATTCAATTCAGTACTCTTAAAGAAGCCACGACAAAGACGAAAACAATCCCACTCACGCCTCAACTTTACACACCCCACTCCTCACTCCCCTTTTGCTTTCTCACCTCCTCCTCTGCTTTAGATCTGAGTCTTCACCACTGTTATGGGCTTTCCTAAGGAAATAAAAGAGCATAGTAAACTGCATCTCCCACATGCAGTTGTTCTTACTTTGTAATATCAAAGTTTATGTGTTTGTATTGATAAATTTGAAATTGTCGGCAACTTGGGACTTACTTGGAACACATGTTCTGAACTAAAATGCTTCTGAAAATAAAGATTTACTTTCACATCTTCAAAAAAAAAAAAAACCTCTAGCACCTGGTTAAGAAAGCATACCAAAACAAGCTCCACTTCAATTAATTCAGATCTCTTCTGTATTTGTTCACACACCACACATTTATGTCATATATGTGTGTCCAGCCCTGTAGCAGGTCCCAGACATGCACCATACCACAGCTGGCCTTGAGAACATAGCAATCTGCAGGGATGTTGTAATCTATGCTTAATGCACAACATGTTGGATAAATACCATTCATCCAAAGATGGGATTAGTTTGCAGTTTCCAGGTCTGTAATCTTCCAGGCCATTCTAACTGATTCCTGCTCTCAGTCAGATGCCCTTCTAATATCCTGGCCTTGAAGCTCCTTTATTTCATCTATAAATCCTTTTGTACCACAACTCACCAATCTACATCGTGGTCATACTTTGAATTTTATTATCTATAACCATCTCCAAATACATTGCTGTCTAACCACAAATTCCTTTTCTTCTAGCTACTACTTCCTGTTTACCTTCAAGTACCTCTAATAGGGCTCTTGGTTAAAAGTGCAGGCTCTGAAGCCGGTCTAACTGAATTTACGAATCGCATCTCTTCCACTGAGGAGCTCTGAGACTGAAACAAATTGCTTCTCTACTAAGAGTCTTGGTGTTAACAGAACCATCCAAAACCAGTTATAAGGAGAAGAAAATGAGGACTTGAAAACTGGCTCAGAGGTTAAGACTATGCACTGCTCTTGCAGAGGATCTGAGTTTGGTTCCACATCAGAAGGCTCACGATCACCAGCAACCCAAGCACCAGGGCATCCAACATTCTCTTTTAGATTCCACAGGCACCTGCACTCAAGTGTATTATATGTGTATATATGGAGCACAGTATTAATTTTTCATTAATGGTCTGATGAAATTTCCATTCAGTCCTGAACTTTTCTTTAGTTGAGAGACTTCTAATTTCTATTTTATTACTTGTTATCAATCTTATTTATATTTAAAAAAAACTGAAATGGCTCAGTGGTTAAGAATGTGTACTGCTCTTCCAGAGGACCCGAGTTCTGTTCCCAACACAGATAAACAGCTTGTAACAGCTTGTAACTCAAGCTCCAGGGGATCCTACATTTCTGGCCTCTGTGGTCATCAGCACTCATGTGCACATACCCTCATACACACGCACACACGTAATTTTTAAAAATAAAATTAAATCTTAAAAAATAATAAAAATACATCTTTAAAAATTAATGCATTTAAAATGCAAAGGACATTGGTCTCTGTAAACTGTTACTATTATAATTTTTAAGCATTTTTCAAATTTACTTTATCAAAATACAAGTACAATACAAAGTACAAATGTTTTGCCTGCATGGAACTGCATCATTTTTGTTCAGTGCCCATGGAGGCCAGAGGAGGGCATCAGACCCCCTGGAACTCAAGTTATAGTTGTTAGCCACCATGTGGGTGCTGGGAACCCAACCCAGTTCTCCACAAGAGCAGCCAGTGCTCTGAACTGCTGAGCTATCTCTCCAGTCTTTCAAGCTGTTACTATGACTGCTCACTCAACTGTTCTCATCCTGCCCTTTATCAGATCCCACGAGCACTGTCCATTGTCTCCTTACTTAGCTTCCACTTTGTTTAATAAGCTGCACATCAGTTCTCAGCACTTCCCCTAACTCTGCTTTTCGTTCCATCTTTTTGGGAAAAACATCACACAAAGTACCCAGGTTTCCTGGGCCAGTCCCAAATTGCTAGCTGAGCAGCAGTGGCTAGAAGGAGCCTGTTACAGTACAAATCTGCTTTCGTGACCTTGGTGATTCAGCAGTCTTACCACCTTTTTCTGACCTAGGAATGCTTCTACAGAGCACTGTTAGCACCTCTGCTTCAGCTCGACTCTACTTTCTCCTTCCAAAGGAAAACGTGGCCCTCAGATAGGATTCTTTCATCTTCCGACTACCCAGAATAACACTTACCAACGTCTCCCTCTCTGTCACTTATGGAACTACCCTGATGGCTAAGGTTGGCTCCCCACCCACATGCTCCATGGGTCCCATCCCATGTCCTCTCCGTGCCCTTCACTGACCACCCTCTCATCTCTCACGTGTATCAACCCTGCCAAACCCCTTTTGCTAGCTTTAAATATTCTCAACATAAATTTTTTTTTATAAATAGTTATTTTATTTATGTGTGTGTGTGTGTGTGTGTGTGTGTGTGTGTGTGTGTAGAGGATGTGGGGATCAGAGAATAACTCAAAAGAATCCATTCTCTCTTTTTCCATCATGTAAGTCTGTGAGGGGCTAAATCCTGATAAGCAAACAGGGTCACTGAGAAATAATAAACATGGCATACCTCCATCTTCTGGATCCAAGATAAAAGGCCTAAAGGCTCCCCCTCTAGGCAGAGGAGGGTTCTCTTTCCAGCCAACTAGTCCAAACCAGTTCGGATAAAAACCAAGGCTGAACTTGTACAGCTCCTCAGTTGGAGCCATAAACCTATCAGCCTTCTCTTCTTTGTTTAAGATGACCAATCAAAAATTAGGGGAAGGAAAACCACTAAAACCCTTAAAACCCAGGTCCTCCCAGGGGGTTTTGGATTTTAGTTTCCAGGTTCCTCTCTCTACTTGTGGAGAGCTTTATTTCTCTGTATGAGTGTGTGTATGGATGTATGATCATTTTTCAATAAAAGCTGGCTTGCTTCTTGTTCTCTGCTGGTCTGAGATTTTTCCTTTAATTGGCCAAGGAAATGAACCCAGCCATACCCCTAGACTGAACCCCTAGGCCACAACAGGTTCTGGGATCAAACTCAAGTTTTCAGTCTTGGTGGTAAGCACCTATACTTGCTGAGCCATCTTGCCAGCCTTCAATATAAACTGACTCCATACAACTCCCCTGCTTCTATCCCTGCCTTTCCTCTCTCTTTCAAAGTCAAACTTCCTGAGAGAGCTTCGAAGACTCTGCTTTATTTCCTTCCAACCTATTACCCCCTCTCAGCAGAGTGGACATGGCTTTTTAATTTATTGATTTTTTTTAATGTATATGAGTGTATTGCCTGCATGTGTGTAAATGCACCCATGCATACAATGACTGTGGAAGGCATTGGATCTCCTGAAACTGAAATTACAGACAGTTGTTAGCTATCATGTGGGTGCTGAGAACCGAACCCGGGTCCTCTGCAAGAGTAGTCAGTGCTCTTAACCACTGAGTCATCTCTCCAGCCTCTGTTTTCTTTTCCCATTGGCCTTAACATACTTAACCCTAATAACACAACATTGATATGAGGTTCCTGTCCTTACATTTTGGATGATTAGGCATCCACACAAAATTCCAAAAACATCCTGATCTTCTATGTAAGATACAACAGATCATTTTCTCTGCTTTTAAGAAGTTTCAGTGATATTTATGTAGCAGTATCCCTTTGAAGAGCAGAACACACTGACTCAGCTAGGAACACTTGTCTTTAAGTCCAGTTCTTTCTTTCCAGGTAGAAATATTTAATATATTCATCTATATTATCAATACAATGCAATATACACTATATAGTTAGCATATTATCTATGATATTTTTAATTTGTCATTTTAAATATAGAAAGTTACTATCAGTAGTTCATAAATTATTCTCTAAAATTCTGTTTCAGAAAAATACTTCAGGACCCCTATCTACTTTATCTTGAAAAGAATAAGCTTCCTATCTCCATGAGGAACCAAAGAGTAGCAGCATTTTGAGAATTACATCATAAATGCAGCTCACCTTCTCCTCATGGGCTGCCCCAAGTCATTGTCGCTCCCACAGGATGGGTTCCGGCGGCGAGCACAGGGGAATTTCGGGGACTTAGTGCGGTCACCAGGAGAGTTGTAGAGTCCACTAGAGTCAAAGAGTCCACACATCAATGGGGAGTTTTTACAAAACTATGAAGCGGTGATGGTAGTGTGTGGGGGGGTGGGGGGTATCATTGATGTCATTCAGAATTTTCAGAAATACATGATCTTACGCTAAACTATCCTAATGACCACTTACATAGTTTCTTCATTATGCACTGGTTCTCCCTTCTGTCTTTCTAGCAAAAGGTTTCATGGAAAGAAACATGCTATTGATTTCTAATTCAAAATTTCCCCCAGCCAAACTGATGAGGAATCTGCCTCATCCATGGCTCACTATGAGCAGCCACAGAGAAGTGGGCTTCCCTGACTCCATGAGCTGCACCTGCTAAGCACTCTGCTGCCTTGTTCACAAGGACAACCAGCCTCTTTACCTCTGGGGTCCATTTTCTTCCCATGGTGCATGAGGTTTGCTTCTTTGGGTGTCAGGGCTGTTTTCGTTCTTTGCTTTCTTAAAGCTTTAATAATAACAAAGAATGAAAAATAAGTTAGTCACAAAGTAAATGATGTTAACTTACATATTGATAAAATTGTGTACTAAAGGTTAAGTTGTACATGTACATGTGTGTTTGCTTGTGTATAGCCATGACTCTTTTTAAAAAGAACACAAAGTGGCTGCCTGATAACTGTATTTCTCCAGCAAGCACTTTTGGGTCTCCTTCCTGCTTCTAATTGTACTGCCTCAGGTGAAACAGAAGCCTTCAGAAGTTCACCCCAGCAGGGAAGAGGAGGAGGTAGAAGTGGGTTAAGCACAACTAAGCATGTGTGAAACCCACTATTTTATCGGCCAATTAAAAATATAATTTTTTAAAAATGGAGGCGTTTGAATGGAGATATACTGAATAGACAGACAGTGCTTCCCCCAGAAAGGTTATTAAATGAAAATCTCAGGGCCAGATGTGGCATGCCTCCCTGTGAGTTATTGCTCAGGAGGCCCCCAAGGACCTCAAAGTAACAGAGGCTACTGCCATTGCTCTTAACCAAGAGCAATGCCCACCATAAATAAGTGATAAGACACAATACACTTTTGTTTCAGGACATAGAGAAAACAAGCTGGAATGGATCTGGAAGCTTCCTCCCTGCTGACTACCTTTCATAGTTCGGAAAGTTGCTATGCAGGCCACTGAGGGAGAAAAGTCATGACTGGATTTTCCCAGCTATATGGACCATGCAAGCTACAATACTGACTTGCCAATAAAGTTGTGCCTACAGGTGTAATAGTGGTATGACTGTTATGGGGCTAATTGACTGCTTTCTGATGGAATTTCAAACCTGCTCCACAGAAGACAATTCTTGCCTGGTGCTATAAATCTGGTCAAAAGCCCATGGATGGGAAGGTCATAGGCCCTAGATAGAAAACCCACTATTGTTGTTTGACATGCTGTCAAATATTTATGTTTATACCCACAGGTTAGTGCCACTTGCCACCTTGGACAGAGGAGCTTCTTTTTACAGTAGACAGCACTCAATGCAGAGACTCATAACAAAATGCTGAGAACAAGTGACTGTTGAGTGCTCAGCCCTAAATGGGACATCTATATCAACTCCCACAAGGGTCACATTGCAGACGAGTGGGTGGGAAAAATTAAGAGCCAGAGTCTAGGAGGAATGCTGTGAAATGCTGTCTTCTGAACTATCATGGCCACTGCATTCATGAACTCACATCAGCTGTGATTACCTACACAAGACTTGCACAAGATCGGGGCAGTCAATAATTCTAGCATGAATGGAGAAAGAGCTCCTGAGGCTCCACCCATAGGTGAGGAGCTATTGATAATTGATTGCTGCGGGGAGAGGGGGACCCACTTTTCTTTGAAGGTGTGGTCACTGGTAGGATGCCCAAACTCATGCAGGTAGTACTAATTAGACTCACAGGGTTATGAAAGAAAGGAAGAAAGGAGGGAGGAAAAAAAGGAAGGAGGGGGGAGGGAAAGAGGGAGGAAGGGAGGGAGGGAGGAAGGAAGGAAGGGAGGAAGGAAGGAAGAGAAGAGAAGAGAAGAGAAGAGAAGAGAAGAGAAGAGAAGAGAAGAGAAGAGAAGAGAAGAGAAGAGAAGAGAAGAGAAGAGAAGAGAAGAGAAGAGAAGAGAAGAGAAGGAAAGAAAGGAAGAAAGGAGGGAGGAAAAAAAGGAAGGAGGGGGGGGGAAAGAGAGAGGGAGGGAGGGAGGGAGGAAGGAAGGAAGGGAGGAAGGAAGGAAGAGAAGAGAAGAGAAGAGAAGAGAAGAGAAGAGAAGAGAAGAGAAGAGAAGAGAAGAGGAGGGATATGACAGTGGGACCAGCACATATTCAGGGTGTGGGATGCAGTGAGAGGGGAGAGTGGGGATGGATGTATATGATCAAAGATACATTGTAAATATATGTGCTACTGTCTCATTAAAAAAAAAATTTAGGACCCACAGACCTCTCTCTGACCCGCAGGTCTCTCTCCAGGGTAAGTCCATTGTACACTCTGCGCCTTGACTCCCCCAGCCTCATTCCCACACCCATCTCTCCTTGAGCCTGGGTCCTGTCCCATTCCTTGTCTTGGAGCCCCAGGCACCTGGGGAACCACCACTGCTTCCTGATCCTTTGCATCCAGATAAACTCAGTTTCTTCTCGGATCCCCAGGAGCACTGCTTCTGGGCCTGGCCCTGCCCTCTCCTCCCTCTACTTCCCTGGGACAGCACAACCCCTGGCCTCTTTCCTGGACCCCCGGGCTGAGCTTTCTCCTCTTTGTGATCGTTTGAATCCAGACCAACCCAGCTCCTCAGTGCAGTCGCCAGGAGCCCTTGGGGCCTTTTTCCACCCCCATCTGCCTTTGCACCTCTGGGTGGCATGGCTACCAGCTGCCCTAAACCAGCATCTTTCCTGGGCCCGGCTCCCAGGCCAGTCCAACCTCCAAATTCCTGAGGCCAAAATCTTTCCTGGAGGGATCCAGACCTTAGGGGAAAGCCTCAGAGCTTCTGATCCTCATCTGACTTGGGCCTCTGTGGGAACTCCTGAAGACAAAAGCAATCCGGCCACTCCAATATAAAATCAAAAGAGAAAACCAGAAGCTTAGATGAACCAGCTTTTCATGCACAAAAGTAAACCAAAAAAACACATAAAGTTCAAAAAAAGAAGCAGACCTAAACTTGAAGGCTTGAGTCTCACAAAAGAATCAGAAACTACAAAAGAAATTCACATGTCAAAATCAAAGAGAAAAAAATAATAACATGAAAAACCAAAATAACATATCCCCACCCAATACCAATAGTCCTCTAGAAGAGTACAGTGAGAACCACCTAGAGATAATGCAGGACATGGAAGTCAATTATAAACATGAAAAAAGAATTCAGTGAATTTAAAGAACACACAAACAAAAGAAATCAAAGAACTGAAGGAAGATAGGGTTAAACTTTTGGAATTCAGAAAAGAGCTAGAAATATTGAAGAATACTTAGGCTGAAATGAAGAAGGAAATGAAAAACTCAGTAAGCCAATTAGAAACGACAGGAGAAAGCCTCACCAATAGGATGAATGAAATGGAAAACAAAATATCAAGACTGGAAGATAAAA